AGGACTGTCCTTGGGGGCTGGGCAGTCTAGGGGGTTAGGAAAGTTGTTCCAGAATTTGTAAAGTTCTTGGAGGAAGCCCTGATTCTAAGCAGGCAATGGTGTGTGTGCCATCCTTCGAGCCTTTTCTTATCTAAACTGCCAATTTCTTTCAATGGTTTCTCACGTGTGACAGTGGCCAAAGCCCTCACTGTCCCTCCCGTTCTCTCTCCACTGAACCTCCTCTGGTCCCGGACGCAACCTCGCGTCACCGCCCTGCAGATCAGGCTCGATGGTTCTAAGGTGCCCCCGGGATTAAGCCCCAAACTTTAAAGAGTGAATACTCTCTATCTTTGCTCCTATTTTGAGCTTTAGTTTTCCTTTTAATGATGCTGGTTTTACTCTTTCCAATCTGAAGAGCATTCTCCTTGATGGAAAAATCAAAAGAGAAATAGGAGCTGAATAACACATTTCATTGTGGGGTGCATTACTCCCTGCAAAGCATTTTTGTGACTACTGGCTCATTTGGTCCTCACTGCAACCCTGAGAGCTAAGTAGGGCAGGGCTGTTACCCATGCAGCGAGGTTGAATGACTTGCACAAGGTCACTCAGTTAGTTAGCAGCCCAGGCAACAGCTGAGGTGTGAGTCCAAAGCCAGAAATTTTGTGGGGAAATTCTGACTACACAAGCACAAATAACCCCAATCAAGAAGCATCTAAAGATCCTAATGTGGCCATGCCAGGCTTTCTCTGACAAGTTCACATTTGAAAAACAAAAGCAAAAGCAAAATGCTGTTTAATTGTAAGCAGACAAAGCTCAGCACTGGGGTGTAGGGTGGCCTCCAGGGAAGGATGCAGAAGATGCTGGGTTTTTAGGAAAAGCTGAGGCTTGGCAAAAGTGCAGAGACAAACTAAAAACACTTTTTAATTGTGCTGATAGCATGATCCCATGCCTTCCAACTCAAAAAGAAAAAAAAAAAGCTCATGCAAGAAATAAATAACAATGAAAGAGAGGACTAAGCCTGCTGTTCAAAGGAAGGTACAGAAATACTGACAGCTCTGTGGAAGGCAGTACAACTTGGGGAAAGAGCCTGTAGCTGAAGCGGGGAGACCAGGCTTGGTCTGGCATTGGCCAGTTGGCTGACTTATAGCAAGCCACCCCAGCCCCCTGCCCCTTTATGTTCCAACTGCCCAAGGTTTTGGACTAGTTCAGTGCTTACCAGACTCCATTCATTCTTCTCCTGCCCTGGTGATTGTGCCATATCCACACAACACTTGCATGATTAAATTCTTGCCAGAGCTGTTCTCTGCTTAAAGTACTGAGCCTGAGGCTTACTCCTGCTTTGTTAGAAAGGGAGATTGGCAAGATATCCTAGCAGCAAATTAAGACTTTCTGTTTGGTATCATCGGAAAGAGTGAAAGAAAATTGAAAAGGAAAAAAAAAAAACCCTCCATGTGCATATACCACCTGAATTGCTTCAAGCATTATTTAGAGTCATTTTGAGGCCTGTCAAGTGGTCCAGAGTCCAGGCTTTGGGAAGAGTGGGCTAGGCTGGTGACCACAGATGTCTCTAATGCTGTTAGAATTTTTCGACTCATAGATCTGGGGTCCAGGATTCCTCTCACTTTGCAGCACAATGGCCCATGGTGCTCAGGTGTCCCTTAAACTCTGCACACACTTCCCAGGCAGCACACCCATCCCTGTCACGTTCATGTTCTTGAGGAGGACACAGTGCATGTTCCTCATGTTGATCACAGCACTGTCCACATGCCACGTCTACTGGAAGCTTTAAGGATTCCTGACATCAGACCACAGGCTTGCACTCGGCTATTGAATTTGTCCTCCATTACGTGAACTCTCTTCCTATTCTTTCCACACCTCCAGTACTTTTAAATCAATGCATAATAAAAGTAATGCATACCCATTGCCAAAAATCTGATCACCAAGCAGAAACACGGAAAGAACTAAACAAATCATTCATTGTTCCAACACCCAAAGATACCATCATTGGTATTTTGTTTTTTAAATAATCTTACTGTTTTTCTAAAATCATAGTTGTTAATATATTTATTATCTGTACAATATTGTTTCCTGCTCTTTCCCCACATTGCCATCTGAAATCATCATAAACATTATTCTACATGGCTGCATTTTGATTCTTTCTAATTTTTACTTGTGTAAATAATTGTATTAATAACAGTATTTCTAAACTAGCACGATTTCCTTAGGAGAGATCCAAGAAGTGACTCTCCTGGGTGCCATATCCCATCTGCAATGCTTGAATGGGAGTGTTTTCCACCCTTAGCAACATCAGGTACTCATTAAAAATCAGAATCAAAATCTTTGCTAATTTACAGGGTAAAAAATAGCTATATAGTTGTTTAGATTTTCATTTTGTTTGTTAGTAAGACTGAAGATTTTCCATCTGTTGGAATGCCAGCTTTATTTCTTCTTTAGTGAATTGTTTATTACATCCTTGGCTCACTTTTCTATTGTGCCTTAGGGGTTTATTATTGATTTGTATGAGCTCTTTATATGTTAAAAATATTAAGCATTTATCCAATATTTGCTGCAAATATATTTTTCAACTTTTTAAAATGGAGGTTTATTAGAGGTCTCCCAGGTAAACCACATTGACTTCTTAGATGACCCATTTTTCTTCCTTCTTGGAATTATATGTGATTTTTATTGTGATAATTTCATTTTTAGAGTCTCTCATTCCTCATGAGCTGTGTTTTCTTTTAGAGCGTGCAGCCATGGGACCATAAAACCTTGCCTTTCAACTTTCTTTTAAAAAAATTTTTATTTATTTATTTATTTATTTATTTATTCATTCATTTATTTATTTATTTATTTTAGTGATGGGGTCTTGCTATGTTGGCCAGCCTGGTCTTAAATTTCTGGGCTCAAGTGATCTTTCTACCTCAGCCTCCTGAGTAGCTGGGACTGCAGGTGTGCACTATACCCAGCTCTGACTTTCAACTTTTAAGTGTAGGATATGTGTCTGCTGTCATGCCACATGCACTTCCTTTGCATGTGCACACACCCCACCACCACCTGTCACAGACACGCAGAGACATTCAGGTCTCAGGCCCTCAGGTTCAGTTCAGGGCTTTTACTCTTTCTATTTCTAATGATTATTTGAGTCAGATGGCTGTTCACAGGTGGTTTATTATGTCAGTGAGTTCATAGTTTCTGAACTATGAATTAATTAACTAAAAAAAAGCTCCTAAGGGCTTTATGAGTTCATTCGGGGTTTTCATAGGACAGTGGCCTCTGGGAGCAAAATCCCTACTCATGGGACACATGAAGTTTCTAGAATAATAATGGCCATAATAATAACAGCTACATTTAAGGATCCCTTAAAATATGCCAGTCATTGTTCTAAGTGTTTCACGTGAACTACTTGGTTTAATCTCCAACAATCCTAGGAGGCTGGTGCTACAGGTTGAGTTTCCCTTATCTGAAATGCTTGGGACCAGAAGTGTTTCAGAATGTTTTTTTGGAATTTTGTGTTTGGAATTTTTTTTTAATTGTGGAATATTTATATCATGCTTACCGGTTAAGCATCCATAAACCAAAAACCCCAAATCTATAATACTCCAATGAGCATTTCCTTTGAGTGCCATGTCAGCACTCAAAAAGTTTAGGATTTTGGAGCATTTTAGATTTTGACTTTTTGGATTGGGGCTGCTCAATCTGTGTGGTTATTTCCGGTTTTCAGATGGGAAAACGAAGGCACAGAGGGATTAAGTGGTTGTGGTTTGCCCAAGCACACAGCAGAGATGGGAGACATGCACATGTAGTATATGTTGCTGAAAGAATAGATGTGTGCACAGATGACAGCTGGACTTTCTCATAATGAGTGAAAACTGAGGCAGGAAATGGGAAATGCCATGAGGAGAGAGAAGACAACTGGTGCTGGCCTGGGGGCTGAGCCCTAGTGAGCACCCCTGAATCTGTGACCCAGCACTTGTTCCTTGACCCTTGGTGGGTTCACACTGCAGGGACTCATCTTGCACAGGACTTGGAGCTATTGCCAGGGGTCCAGGACACTGAGCAGACAGAATTTTGATACCTGCCTACATTGCAAGTTAAGCATTGGGATTCCTGAGCCCAGAGAGGGCAGGGGATAGGTAATAATCACAGTGGCAACAGCTGACTCGCAGAGCACCGTGAGTACGTGGCAAGCACTGGGCTTGCATGCATTGTCTTATGCACTCCTAGTAACAATTCTATGAGGCTGGTACTATTATTACGTCCATCTTATATGTGAGGAAACTGAGGCTTAGAGAGGTTACACAGCTGTAACTGGCAGAGCCTGTGTGACTCCAAAGTCTATCCATTTTCTCCATGTCTCTCTGCTGCTGCCCAGGTAAGGAATGCAGGCACTACCTTACTCTGGACCCCCTGGTGATCAGTTAGGGCTCAGCAGAGGAATAAGAAACGGGGACCCAGCAGGGACTCTGCTATCTTTTCTCTAGAGCTCTGGGATAGAGAATAAGTAAGCAAAGAGATTTGCAGTTTCAAGGCTGTTCTATTCTACTTCCTTGTTTCGTGCTAAGAATTCCTGCAAGAGGGAGGCAGGCAGCTGCTGTCTGCTCAGGGGCTTCTGGGAGCAGCGTTTGGGTGCCTGAGGCTGCCCCCTCTGCCCAGAGCAGTGCCACTGATGGGGCATATCTGGCGTGGGAAGCAGCTCTCCCAGCGATGGTGGCTCCGTCTACATTTGCTGGGCTCAGGGCCGTGCCCTGCGCTGGCAGCAAGATCTGTCAAAGGGTTTCTCCTTCCCTAACAGAGCTTGGCACTCACACAATTTCCCCGTGGCTGTGTGAACAGGGATAGGACCTAGTTTTTATTCCCATCTACCTGTGGCTATCTCATTTTATGGGTTTCTGTCTGGGTTTTAGCTTCTTAATTCTCTTGTTGGAATAGTAAAAAATGAGTGTGTTTATACTATGCAACTCCATCTCCCATTAGTTGCCAGTGCAAACAAACCCTCTGCCCTAGCTGGGCCAGCTCCCTTAGTGTCCTCCCAAACAACAAATGCCATCTGTGTGCCCCAGGTGTTGTCAGCTGCTGCCTGGATGAGCCCTTCTGGCTGGAGGGCTCTGAGGTGTTCCACTTGGGAAGGCTCAGTAACCCTCAGCCCCATCCTGACCAGGACCTGTCTTCACTGCTTCCTCTCTCAGGTAAGCTCTGGGATCTGTTATGAGCCATCGGCATTGATGTACTGGGGTACGGAGACAGCCCCTCCACAAACTCCGCTCAGCTCTCTGTCCTATCGTCCGGACACTCTGTCTTGCTCTTTGCTGTTGTCACACCCTGGCCGCACCAGTCACTGCCAGGTTCTTGCTCGGAACAGATGAGGCCCCTGCAAGCAAGGTGCTGCCTCCTGTTTGCCTTTGAGCTTGACGGTGCTCACAGCCTCTGTGGTCTCGTTTGCACTCCACACTGGATTCCCACGGACCCTGACGCTGGGCAGAGTGGCTGGGGAGAGCCACTCTCCTGCTCTGATCCTGGCTCTCTTCCTTCCTCATAGAGCCCCGTGGTTGAGGTCTTAGCATTCATTCAGGAACCAGCGCCGCAAAGACAATTCAACCTATTTTCTGCTGCCCTGTGGCTTTCTCTGTAGTAAGAGAGAAAGCCACGTGAACAAATAGTTGCATTACAGTGTTGTGAGTGCTGAATAGAGTCGTGGTGAGGAAAGTGGAAACTAACAAAGAGGACCAATCACATCTGGTGGTGTGCAGTTGTGTGTGGTTGGGTGGGGAGACCTAAAGTGAAAGGGGATGCTTGAGCGGGTCTTGAGAATGAGTGGGGACTCTCTAGGTGGGCAAGTTTGTGATGGGTAGGGGATATGCGAATGGGCCTTGCAGGCAGGGAGAACGGGGTGGAAGAGCAGTTTAGTGGTGTGCAGCACAGGGCGTGGAGGGCTGGGCAGATCACGGAGCCAGGGCCGGTGGGAGTCTAGCAGGAGAGAACATCCAGCGCAGCTGACTGCCTGAGGTGGAGACTGGTTACCGTGTTCTGGGTGCTGTGCCTACTCTCCAGTGTTCTCTCCTACCCCATTGCTACTGCTGGTCCCCTCGCCACCGCTGTCTCTTCCTTGGGTTATTGTGTGACAACTGCCCGAACCCTGCCCGAACCCTTCTCTCCCCGGCCTAATTCTCCTCCAGTCCCTCCTTCTACGCCAGGGTGGCTATCTTTCTTACCTGCTTCCCACTAGAATATAAGGTCCATAGGGATAGACACCTTCTCAGTTCACTGTTGTTCCCAGTGCCTGGCACACAATAGGAGCCCGGTAAATATCAGCTGAACAAATGAATAAATCTAAACATGCAAATCTGGTCCCATGGCTCCCTGCTTAGGACTCTTCTGTGGCTTCTCACAGCCTTTGAGATAGAGGCTGGCTTTTTCAAGTGGCATGCAAGGCTTGCTCAGGCCTGGCCCTGGCCCAGCTCTCCAGCCCCCTGTGCTTAGTACTCTCTGCATCTCAGCCTATATTCCAGCTGTGACAACCTCCTTGCAGTTCTTGATGCATCTTTAAGCCAGCAGCCTTCAAAGTATGGTTTGTGGGGGTCCTAAGACCCTTTGAAAGGATCAGTGAGTATGCGTAAAGATCCATCCAAAGGAAGGGTGATCAATAGGTTTTAATGTAACAGGGCATGAAAAGTACATTGGCATGGTTCAGATTGCACAATATAGCTGACTCACCCCTTGTGTTCTGGTGTGGTATATAAAAAAAATAGCCAGCAGTACCTGACAAGGCTACTAAAGTATGGCTGGCTTTTCCAATGATTTATCTGCCTGATCAGCTGGGATTCCAGCTAGTGGGGCAAGTGAGGGCCCCCTAAGTGTAAAATTTAAGGAGCCGCCACCCACTCTCAGAACCAGCCCTGTATTCTCAGAACCCGAGAGTGGGTGCCTCCTTAAACGCTGGGCCCTGGGACCTCCTTGCCCAGCCGCAGTCTGGGGGCCCTGCTGTCTGAGGCTGGCTTGCTTCATACACTTCAACTAAAGCCACGGATAGCAACGGACTGAATGCAGATGTGATGTGAGACTGCAGCTGCTCACTAAGTTTTCTCATTTTGGAAATATAGTTCTTTTTTTTATAAAATTTATGCTAACATGCAATGGATTTGTCATTTTAAAATTAATTAATAAATATTTTTAAATATTTAAAAAGTTCCGCAGCATTAATTTCTAATATCATATATAGCCCACATAAATAAAGCTCACTGAGATCCTCCATAGTTTTTCTGAGACTGGAAAGTTTAAGAACTGCTTTGCTAAACCAGAAGATGTGGAAAACATTGCTTATTATATTAAAATACACATTGGTTACATGAATTTTATGATTAAACAGGACTTCATAGAAATCGGGATGGATTCCTTCAGGCAGCACCACTCCCGACCTCAGTGGTTCCGAAACTCACTTTGCTCTGGTGTTGGCTCCGCCTTTTCCTCCTCAGGGAAACAGAAGGTTGAAGGAGGCTAAGTTTCTCCCTCCACAGGCTCAAATCTCTTTCCCTGAACACCCTGATTCACTCTGATTTTGTCGTTTTTTGCTCATCCTGTCCTTTGCCTGCCTTCTCGTTCTATATTTCTCTTCAAGGTGCAGCTCAGGTCTCGCCTGCTCCAGGAAGTCCTCACTGACTAAGTTCCGGAAAAGCTTCTAGGGAGAGTTTTATTAACCAAAACCATCTCTACTAAACATTACTATAATTTGCCAATCATCTCTACTGTAAGTTTTATCCATATATTAATATTCCTCCATCCTCTCACTCCCTTTCTTTTTTTCTGAGAAGATCTCCAACCCTATGCTCTCTCTCTAAAGGGTATGGCAGCTAGACCTATTTCCAAGACAGTGCAGGGGAGGGTGATGAAGGAGGCCCAGGCCCTAGACTCGCAACTGCTCCATCCAAAAACTCAGAGCTCTGATTCAGATGGAGTCTCTGTCTGTGTCGCCTTCCAGAACGCAGTGGCGGACTGACAAATGTGGTGCTGGAGATAATGAGGCCAAAGGGAGGTGTAGTTCTAATGGAATAAATACATCTTTGGTAAATCTTCCCACCAAGATGTCTTTATAACTAAAAACAGCCACTCTGTCTGTCCCCCATGGTTGCTGTGAAGGCTGATGAGCTTTTGTATTTCTCCAGGAGCCATCTCTCCTCCCTCCTCCGGCTCACCACCAGCGAGCAGACATCACACTGGGTCCAGGAGGTAATTAAAGTTTCAGGGGCAGGTGGGAGGCAAGAGGGGAGACAGCCAGGAAAGCAGCAGGACCATACACTGGCAGTGTTGCCAAACTGGCCTTGGTCCCTCGTTCCTGGTGGCAGCCAAGCATCTGCATTCACTTGTTTTTATGGAGATTGAGAAGAACTGGAGGCTTGCTTTTTTGCCAGTTTTGACACCTCTCTGTTTTGCACATTAACAAGCTCACCGCTTGACACCATGTCTGATCCATGCACTGCGCTGCGGAAGTGTCAAGCAAACTTGCTAGAGATACTAAGGGCCCAATTATAGTGTCCATTTTACACTTGGATCTTGACAGATGCTGGAAACCTTTTTGACTCAGGGATGATTAGTGCAGACCTTTCCCTTGCTTGCAAGCAGCCTGGAACCCTTGCACCTGTTTTATCGGCATCCAGTGTATCCTTAATGAACGGCCTTTTCCACTGTGGCCCATGGGAGCAGTCAAAGGCTCGATGACAAGGAGCCTGAGGCCCAGAAAGGAAAGGTGGCTTGCTTGAAATTATACTTCAAGCTGGTAACAAGTCCTCAATTCCTTAGGAATCATGTTCAAAATAAGAATTTCAGGCAGGTCAGGGCAAGAGCAGCAAGCCAGCCGGGATTTGTTGGATGAGGAAAAGAGAGCAAATTAAGAAGAATGCTGTCCAAACCTTGGTGGTGCTGATTTCTGGCACAATTACTCCACCTTCTGTTACCCATACATGAAGGCCAGAAGTCTAAAATAGTCTCTCAATATCACTTGCTTTATCAATGTTTTAATATATGTGTGGGGGGGTATCTCCCCAAATAGCCAGCTAATAAGTGATGTGTATGGAGGCAGATAAACAGGGAAGATGGTGGTGGGCAATGGTGGTTGAAAATCTTTAAAAAGAGTAAAGTAAATGGAATAAAGAAGCTTAGGAAGAAATAAGAAAACCCAACAAGAAGTGGCACTGAACAGGGATTATTTTAGGAGGGAAATGGACCGTTAGGGTCTGAATGGAGAGCCCTGGGCACACAGGCTAGGAGCAGGAGGAAGATCAGTTACCTAATCAGGTATGCAGGCATGCCTCCTTGGCAAGTTGGGAAGTAGGACTCTGAGTCATTTGAGATGGTCACTCGGATGGGCCTAACTCCATTTACCTACTCTGTCATTTTGCATAGGTCAGGTCAAGGATTTGACCCACAGAGGGGATTGGGTATCTTCAGCTAGTGCTCGCCCTGTTCCTGTAACCAACTTAAAGTTGGAAAAGAGGATAAGGTCCAGGGAATAAAAGTAGCCCCTGATGCCCACTGGAGTTTGCCCACTAGAGAGAACTTTACTGTAAGGGGCAGATGTCTTTAAACACCACGGCAGAAGCCACGTCTGGTCTTGGGGCTAAGACTTTTATTTACTTCCCATTCTGCAAAGAAGAGCTTGAAAGCCAAAACACAAGAGCTTGAAAACCAAAACACAAGATGAACTAAATGTACAGATTTTTTCCCCATCCTACATACTCATCTCAGTGCTTTCTGGCTAAGGAATAATCCTTAGTCTCTGCTCTCTCTACTTACTGAGAACACAGACACATAAATCTGAAACTTGCAAAGGAATTTAGAGATCTTCTAACCCAATCTTTCATCCAAAGTGAAACCCTTCTACAGCAATCTTGATAGGTGGCCATCCAGTCTTTGAACCTTTGCAATAATGACGAACTGACTACTTTCCATGCAATCAGATTCAGAGACACCAACTGTGAAAGTCTTGCTCAGAACTGAGCCCCAAACCTGCCTCTCTTTGACTTGCAAACCTGGGTTGCTACTCTGCCTTCCGAGGACACACAGAGCAAGTTTATTACATCTTTTATACGACAACCCTGCAGATAGCTGAAGACAACCAGCAGGACATGGTCCAGGCCCCCCACCAGCCAGGATGCCCAACAGTGAACATGCTTTAGTCTGTCATAAAACCCTTCTTAAAATGTGGGGCCCTGTTCTGAGTATAAATAAGCCAACTCATCATCATCCAGTGGGTTCAAACCAACTTGGAGGAACAGGTAGCAACCTGGAGCCCTGTGGCTAGAAGTGTGCTCAGTCCATCTAACAGTTAAGCTGAGAGCTGTTTCTCAGAGAAACTCTAGCTGATCAGCCTCCAAAGCAACCTACAGGGATAGAGGCAGTGCTGGCAGGGAGGGACTCAGCCAAACCTAATGAGGGATTAGCTCCTGACCTTTGGAAACTCTGCATCAGATCTTTGTGCTGCCCCTGCCGGAAGCCTCTCTGCTTGGCAATGGTTGGCGGTTAGGTGGCGGTGCAGGGAGGAGATTCATTTTAGTTGTTGTTGATTTTACCAACAAAGATTCAGAAAATCCGTGTCTGTGTCATTTTATGTAAATCCAGATCCATCTGTCGCTGTCTATTGTACCTCCAGGCTCTGTAAAAATTTTTGAATACATTGCTGTTGCTTTTTTCTCCAAAGGCATGTGGTAACATCTTTAGAAATCTCTAGGGTATGGAAATTTTGGCATAATGCATGGTTTTATGTTCTGAATGATGTTGAAGTCCACATGGGTGGATCTTGGACAAGAGACATTTGATCATCTGAGACATGTGACAAGTCAACATGAATCATGAAGGACCAAGTCCCTTGTACTTCCTCTGCCTCTGACTGGGCACTGCCAGTGTGGGCCACCTGCCTTCTCGGGGACCCCATGCCCCATGTTTCCTTCCAAGCCATAGTGACCATGGGGCAGTCCAGCAATGACTCCCACCTCTCTTCTCACTGGCCGGACTCCACTCCCTCCCAGTAGTCTCACTTCGTCTGGGCTCTGATTTTTTTTTTTTTTACCCAGAATCTTCTCCACTGGTGAGATCGCGATAAAAAATGTTTTTAAAAGTGTCTGGGATGGAGTATTAGTCTCAGTCTGCACTCTGTTGATTCGGACTCTGCAAGCTGCTCTCTAAGTTGCTTCCCTGTGCCTTCTAGGTTTGTTTCCTATGAGGCTGGGCTTTTTCTCCTCTGACCCCCAGAAACTTCTGAGGGCAGTGACCGTCTTACCTGACAGGCCCAATGTTAGGGGCACTCAGAACCCCCCCATTTCTCCACAGCTACCAGAGGGGCAGGTTACTGAAGCAGCCACCACTAAGTGCTTACCATGTGTGAGCCCATTCACGCACATCACCCCCCAGCAAACCGGTGAGGCTGATGCTATGATGACCATTTTACAGATGGGAAACTGAGGTTCACAGAGGTTGGGTAAGTTTCCCAAGACCTCACCTCTGATTCCAGGGCCTGTGCATTCTTTCCAGTCTGGCCCCTGCTCCTCTCTGACAACAGCCCCCGAGAGAAGCCTGTGTCCTTGACTTGCCCCCAGTAGCTCTGCAGTTTAAAAAATGTAAGCATTTCAAATAATGCTTTCTTGCCCTTTCCCCACCCCGAGAACTGGCACAAGAGGGCGTATACATTTAAGATAATTTCAATAACAACAGATGCTTATTAACCACAGCTGCTTTTCATTTAAGGCACTCCCATGTTTGTGAACTCATTTTGCCCTTTCAGTCACCCTACAAAATTGACCAAAAGGCATCCTTATCTGTACTTTGAAGATAAGGAAGCAAAGATCCAGATAGGCTTAGGGACAGCCCAGGGCCTCAGTGAATTAATGATCTAGACTTTTCCTCAAATCAGCAAGAAAAAATTAAACAACCCTGTCAAAAAATGGGCAAAGGACATGAACAGAAAGTTCTCAAAAGAAGACAGAATAATGGCCAACAAACATATGAAAAAATGTTCAACATCTCTAATCATCAGAGAAATGCAAATCAAAACCACAATGAGATATCACTTAACTCCAGTGAGAATGGCCTTTATAAAAAAGTCCCCAAGCAACAAATGCTGGTGTGGATGCAGACAGAGAGGAACACTCCTACACTGCTGGTGGCACTGCAAACTAGTTCAACCTCTGTGGGAAGCAATATGGAGGTACCTCAAAGCTACAAGTAGATCTACCAAAGATACAAGTAGATCTACCATTTGATCCAGCAATTCCACTACTGGGCATCTACCCAAAAGATCATAAGTCACTTTATGAAAAAGACACCTGCACTCGAATGTTTATAGCAGCACAATTCACAATTGCAAAGCTATGGAAACAACCCAAGTGCCCATCAATTCATGGATTAATAAAATGTGGTATATGTATACCATGGAGTACTACTCAGCCTTAAGAAACAATGGTGATATAGCACCTCTTGTATATTCCTGGATAGAGCTGGAACTCATTCTACTAAGTGAAGTATCTCAAGAATGGAAAAACCAGCACCACATGTAGTCACCAGCAAATTGATATTAACGGATCAACACCTAAGTGGACATAAAGGAGTAACATTTATCGGGTGTCGGGAGGGTGGGAGGAGGGGATGGGTATATACAACCACAAGGAGTAAGATGTGCAACGTTTGGGGGATGACACGCTTGAAGCTCTTACTAGAGGGGGGAGGGGGGCATGGGCAATATATGTAACCTAAACACTTGTACCCCCATAATACGCTAAAGCAAAAATAAATAAATAAAATTAAAAAAAAAAAGATTTTTCCTCCTTGCTGTGCTCTCGGACACAACAGCTCTCCAGGCCCCAGCTTTTTGCTAAGAGAAAGGTCCTGAGTCCCTCGTCACTCCCTCATCTCATGCTGTGCCAGAGACACCGATCATCCTCCGGGTATGATGCCTGCCCTGAAAATCAAGGTGCAAGACGTGCCCCGCCCCAGGCGGCCTCTGCTGCCCAAAGAGATCCGCTTACTGAGTAGATATTACGCGTCATGCATGGTCCTGCTCTGCCCAGTGGCTCTGTGAGGTAGTTATTGTCATTAGCCCGGTTTGCAGATGAGGAAACTGTCAGCAGAGCCACAAAGTGACTCGACTGGGATGGCACAGCCAGTGTGTGGCGGGGCTGGGTGTGAAGCAGGAAGCTCTGACTCCAGAGCTGAGCCCTGTCCTGTGCTGTGAGCAGTGCAGAGCCCCCCGCGTCGCCTGGCCTAGACTCTAAGGGGGCATCGTCGCGGCCAAGGATTACACTGGCTCTGTCACAGCCAGCGCCACGCATTGAGACTGCGGTCAGTTAAAAGCCCAAGGGGTCTTTTCCACGAGCAGTGTTTAACTTCCATGTCCCACAAGAAACATTAACATCATAAGTCATTTTTTTCAGTGCTAAGTGCAGGAGTTTGCACTCATAATCTGTTACGTTTTATATAGAATTCTTTTATTTTACAAACGTTTTATATTTATAGAAAAATTGTGAAGACAGTACAGAGAGTTCCCATACAGCCCACACCCAGTTTCCCCTATTACAAACATCTTACATTAGAGTGCGGTGCGTTTTCTCACAATTAATGAACCGATATCAATATATTACGGTCTAAAGTCCATACTGTATTCAGATTTCATTATTTTTTTACCTAGCATCCCCATCAAGGATACCACATTACATTTGGTTATCATGTCTCTTTAGACCCTTCTAGACTGCAACAGTTTCTCAGACTTTCCGTGTTTTTTATGACCTTGACAGTTTTGTTTTTTTATTTTTTTGAGACAGAGTCTCACTCTGTTGCCCAGGCTAAAGTGAGTGCTGTGGCGTCAGCCTAGCTCACAGCAACCTCAATCTCCTGGTCTCAAGCAATCCTTCTGCCTCAGCCTCATGAGTAGCTGGGACTAAGGGCATGCACCACCATGCCTGGCTAATTTTTTGTATGTATATTTTTAGTTGGTCAATTAATTTCTTTCTATTTTTAGTAGAGACAGGATCTCGCTCAGACTGGTTTTGAACTCCTGACCTCGAGCAATCCACCTGCCTCGGCCTCCCAGAGTGCTAGGATTACAGGCGTGAGCCACTGTGGCCGGCCTGTGACCTTGACAGTTTTAAAGAGTACTGGCCAGGTGTTTTGTAGAATGTCTCTCAACTGGGATTTGTCTGATATTTTTCTCCTAACAGCACTGGGTTTTTGGGAGGGAGACAACTCTGGTCCTATCATATAAAGGGCACATACAGTCAACACGACTCATCGCTGTTGGGGTCAGCCTTGGCCACTTGGGCTGAGGCTGTGCTTGTCAGGCTTCTCCACTGCAAAGTGAAACTTACTCTCCCCCCCCTTTCCGTAGTGCACTGTCTGGGAGGAAGTCACTACTTGCAGCTCACTCTTAAGGAGTGGGGCGTTGTGCTCCAGCTCCTGAGGGTGGAGTATCTAGGTAAAATACTCGGAATTCTTCTGTTGTGTCTCCATTATACTTTATTCACCATCATTTCAGGTGATGGAGAACTGTTTGAATCCTATTGCTCTACCCACCCTGAAATTGAACTTTCGCAGGTAAGTGGTATCTATGTGTCTATTAGCGTGGCTTCTGTCTTTTACTGTGTCGCTTATAAAAACATTGAACAGACAAGGCCCCAAACAGAGACCTGTGCACAGACCACCTTTTAAGATATTCTCTGATACTTGGGGAAAACAACTTGCATTTTTCAGGGCATTTTTGAAGTCACATTATATTGTACAGATCACATTTCTCCATTTTACTCACAATGTGATAAAGAATGACTCCATTAAATGTTTTCCTGAAACCAAACTATGTGCCAATTGTATTCCTTTGACATTCTAAAAGAAATGACTTACTAAGAAAAGCAAATTATTTTAATTTTGCACGATTTATTTTCAGTCATCCCTTGCTGGCTTTGGGGTATCTATTTTTTTTCTAAGTGCACACAATCTATTTACCACTCCATCTTTTAAGAATTTTATCAGTTTGACATCAGGCTGACCAACTCAGAACTTCTTTCTAGCACCTTGCTTTTTGAAAAGGAAGATGTTTCCAGACTTTGGGCATCTCCTCCGTTCCACATGCTTTCTGAACAATCACCAACAAATTCTCAGCCACTGTACCTGCAAATTCTTTCAGTCCTGAAACATCCAGCACCTGGAGTCCTGACCTCATTTATGGATGGTAGATATACACTTACACATCAGATCAAATTTGTTCCCTTTGGTGAAAAAGACAGAAGCAAAACAAGAGGCAGGTGCTTCTATTTTCTTCATTCTTCTCCTGAGTCACTGTCTTCCAAGCAGGTACACATGCTGTATATTCCGTTCCTGCCCTCAGTAGCCCCCCATTCTTTTTTGTTAGCTGTTTCTTTCAAACAAAGCTAATATTACATCATTTCCCCCAAGGAGCAGTCCTTTACCTTGTTCATTTTCCTGCTTCATGCATTACTTAAAAATAACAAAACCACTAAAAGCTAACATTTATTTAAGTGTTTGATAGAAAAGGAGAGCAAGGGCATTACAAGCAGGGAATAATGATGATAATGGTGCTAATATGTATTGAACCAAATGTGCCAGCATTATCCAATTGAGCATTATCTCATTTATTTTTTTACAATGACCCTTTGGGAATAGATATCATCCCCATTTTATAGATAAGAAAACTGAGGCTTGGTAAGATTAAAGAGCTTGCTGAAGTTTACTAAGCTGAAATTCAAACCAGGTGAGTTTGATTACAAATCGTTCCTCTTAGCAATAATAATTACAGAAATACCAAGAGTACTTTTTTGTTGTCTGGAACTGTTTGTTTAAAAAACGGTTTATTCTGAGTATCTCAGTCTGTTCAGGCTGCTGTAACAAAAAAACCATAAACTGGGTGGCTTATCAACAACCAGTATTTATTTCTCACTGTTCTAGAGGCTGGGAAGTCCAAGAGCAAGGTGCCTGTAGATTCAGGGTCCAGTGAGAGCCTGGTCCTCAAAGATGGCCGTCTTCCTTGCTGCATCCTTGCGTGATGGAAGGGTTGAACAAGCTCTTTTGAGCTTCTTGTATAAGGGAACTAATTACATTCAAATAAAATCTTAAAGGCCCCACCTCTTAATACTATAGCACTGGGGATTATGTTGAAACATGTGAATTTTTGGGAGGCACAAACACTGGGCTTAGATCTCCAGAAATTGTTCTTACAGAGTGTGGTACCTCCTGGCACCCCTCCTATGTTATGAAGCCCTACCCTCTTTGATGGGCCCCCACTTTTTCCAACCAGTACCTCTTTGAAGGATTCTTTGTATCTTCATTGGTTCCTTTATATTAGATCTTCTTAACACTAGGTCTCCAATTCCTTCTGAAATCATATACAAATTACTGTATAGATGTCCATTTTCTCCCCCGGGGGACAGGGTCTATAGTTTTCATTAGATTCTCAAAGTGATTTATTATCCTCTAGCCTCCCCCCCCCATTCATCTATAAATTTCATTTATAATTTATAAATTATTGCTTTTGACGTCTCTCCTTTTACTTGGACAGATGGGGTTTGTGACTGAAATATAGACATTTCACTTTTATAATCTCCCTGACCTGCCTAATCTGTATTCCCTTTTGGCCCCTCTGGCCATGGAACTGAACTCCATTGCACTCCTTAGACTCTCCCTCTATAAAGCCTCAGGCTTCTGTCTGGGGGTGGCCAGTGTCCCCTCTCCTGGCTATTGGTCATGCTCAGATGATGTGACTGTCGGCTTCAGCTTCCCATCCCTGCTCTTTTTTGTCACTGCACACATAATGCAGCAAGTATAATGAGCCAGGCACTGCTCTGGGCAGAGGGGACCCCACACTGAACAGAATAGTCAAAGCCCTTGTCCTGAGACAAGCATTCCTTTTTTTTTTTAATTTCATTTTTTTAAGTTTTGGTGTAGCTGAGTGATAACACAAGCATTCTTTTTTTTTTTTTTTTGAGACAGAGTCTCACTCTGTCGCCCGGGCTAGAGTGCCGTGGTGTCAACCTAGCTCACAGCAACCTCAAACTCCTGGGCTCAAGGGATCCACCTGCCTTAGCCTCCCGAGTAGCTGGGACTACAGGCATGTGCCACCATGCCCAGCTAATTTTTTTTTATATATATATATTTTTAGTTGGCCAATTAATGTTTTTCTATTTATAGTAGAGACAGGGTCTCGCTCAGGCTGGTTCCGAACTCCTGACCTTGAGTGATCCGCCCACCTCAGCCTCCCAGAGTGCTAGGATTACAGGCGTGAGCCACTGTGCCTGGCCCACAAGCATTCTTAATATCAACAATTCATTCTTTTCTGTGGATCTTAATGAAGTCTGGACTCAGTTCCCTTATTTGTCTGTTCTACCTTTTAAGAGATAAAATTATTAGTGGATCAAGTAAAAAATTTATCAGCTCTTCTGCTTTTAGCAGAATGATATTTGCAGTCATCTAATTAGTCAGAGGCCCCGTCACTGTTCCTCGCCGTCCTGTGCTGCAGGGGCATCATTCCCCGGCCCCGGCTGGCAGGCGGTTTGTGGCATGAGCCCCTTCAAATCCTCTCACCTGTGCGGCCCCCTCTGGCTCACAGATTGAGACACGCGTGCACTTTCTGGGCACATAGGGTTTCTCTCTCCCTGTGCAGTCGGAACTTTCCTTGCGGTACGCTCCAGGCCTGAGTTCCATCCCACAGGCAGGAGGGTCCATGAGATGACAAGTCAACTTGCTTTTCCATTCTCTATTTCTTAGCAGGTAGATATCAGAGAACTTAATTGCTCCTAACTCTTCGCCTGCTACTTTCTGAGGCTTTCTGGACACCTCTCTTGGAAAAGTTCTTCTGTCTCTAGAACCAGCATGCTCAGCTTAGTCTCTATGCAACTTTGGGCAAGGGAAATTCTCCGAGGTGTCTTCGTTTATAATATACACAAAGATAATATTACTTATCTTGTGGGCTTGATGTGAAGAGTAAATGCACAATTCTAAGGGGTTAACAAGCCTGCTGCAAAACAAGGCTGCCCCACAAGGGCACGAGCCATGCCAGTTCCCAGCCTTTCCTGCTCTGTCATGCCTGTCTACCTCCAGCGTATCCGGCCTTTTCTGGGCATTTTACCCTTTCTGTTTTAATGTCTTATTTCAGTGTCTGCTATTTGGGGCTCTTTAGGAGAGAAGAAAGAACTCAGAAGTATAGTCTGGCAGGAGGCTATGCCCAAGTTGCCCCGGGAGTACGGACCCTGGGGCCCCGGGGATGACTCTTGGCCCAGATATGCCATTTCCAACAATTCCTGCTCCTCAGCTGCTGCCTCTAGGCCGGGGCACGTTGGGACTTTGCAGCATGGCAACATTCCTGGAGGGAGAGCGGGCAGCTTGGGAGCAAAGCACCTGGGATGCCATATGGGCATGGGTCTGGGGCCCACATGCCAACCAGAAAGGAGCCCAGGTGTTCTGATTCAGGGCCGCTCTTGATAAGCAGGGCATTCACAGGGGACATGGGACTCACAGAACTCCTGGCAGAAGAGCTGATGGTGAGGGTGAGTCAGTGCTGGGCTCGAGAGAGGCCTCAGCTGTCCAGACTCCCCACCTAGCCTGCGAGGCCCGTGCTGCCCATATGACTGTGTGGCCTTTAGTTCAGCTGCTGCATTTTAGTATCTCTCTGAGGAGCAACCATGGGGGACAGGAGGGACCCCCAAAGATGTCAGGGCCCGAGAGTGGGAATCCAGGTGCCACTGTCCCTGGGGAGGTTTAGTGAGGCTGTGACCAGGGAGTTAATGCCACTGAGAGGTGTCCAGGTTGCAAAAGACCCAGCTGAGTCTGGGAGGACTGGGAAGAAGATTTCAGCCTAGGCCTGGATGACTAGTGAGCAGGGCAGAAAATGACTCCAAGAAGGGTCTTCACCCTGGACAGGGACCTTCAGCAGCTCCATAGAGCAGAGTCTGCCAAGGCGAGTGGTGCCCACCCCGGTCTGCAGGATGATGCTGTTTGGCAGGTGCCTTTCCAATTCAGTTGTCTATGTGAGCTGAGAATATGTGGCAGATGGGATGAAACAAGGGCCGCTGCCGGAGAGGAGAAAAAGTTGGGAGAAACTACAAACTCAGGGATTCTGTTCAGGAAGGAGAAACCCCCAGTTCCCCAGCCCTACTCCCTACCCGCTCTGTTTTGGGTCCTTGGATCATGGCAGTCCCTGCGATCAGTTATGACACAGAGAGTAAGAGTATAAACAGCATCTTGAGGGCAAAGATTATGTTATGTTCGTTTTCGGCATCCTTAGCATCTTTACAGGCATGAGTTCCATGCTTTGCTGAACGAGTGAATAAATGATGCTCATTATTACATGGTCTGGATTGAGCTCAACTGGGAGGCTCTGCATTGCTTTCACTGTCTTTTGCCCTCTGAGTTATAGATTTGTTCCAAATCATACAGGGAAGCTTGAGCTGAGCTCAGGAAAATGCTAGCTGGGGTCTGTGGAGTCAGAACCGCCTCTGGGGCTTGTTGTTCCCATAGCCCAGAGCCCTGAGCACAGGCCTGACCCGTGAGGGCCCAACAGACCCCAGCCCCAGTGGAGGCCCCACCGC